GAAGGCAAAACAAGAACATGAACAGGTGTTATTTTGAATATGACCAACCTCATCCCTCAGCATTATTCCATGGTAATACGTATTATGATAGGGTGGGATCATGGTATTTTCTAGGTATTTTTTGTATTTTTCTGGTTTCTGTGTGGGTCTTCAATTGTGCAATCCAAATTATCTGTTTTAAGTACTGATTACAAAAAATAACGAGAGGTCGCGTATCATAACGCGCATAACCCTTTTTTCATAATCCTGTGGTGTTAATAATCGAGAAGGGGTAGTAATGCTTCGTCACAAGACAAAAGTAAAACGTATCCATTGGTACCTCCTGGCACATGGTTGCGCGTTTCCACTCAGCTAACTATTCATTCTTGCTTTTGTATTTGTTCTACGTGATACTAGTTTAATGCTTCCAAAACCTATGTAGGGCTTACATTTTTCTCAAACGTGTATACGAAGTTCTAGATTCGAAATTCCTGATGGAGATGCTGACAGGCTGAAAACTCCGCGAGATATTTTCCAGTATATTGCCGATCGTGAAGATGTGTATGAATGATGGATAGATTCGGATAAGTTCGATTTGGTTGCTAGGATATATGCTCGAAATCATTTATTTAAGCATTCATTATAGCACTTAGATTAGTGATTTGGTAGTCTTGGATTTTTTTTGACTGTTATGAATATTCGACGGTTTTACCGGTTTTTCATGTGGTTTCATGTGAAACCTTACCTTTTATGTTATCAGTACATAGCTGAAGGTTTGTTACTTTTGTGTAGATTAATAGAAAGCTGAGTTTCGACTGAATGGAATAAAGTTGTATTCCTGTCCTTCAGCTAATATTATGCAGTAGCGTGTTCTGAGAAATATTTTCAACAGAATTGCCCGTCTTCAGACTATGACCACTCGACTACCCTACTACAAAACGAAATTTTTTGTGTGATATGCCTGTACTGTTCTAATCAAGTGACTGCACACGCTGTCGCTTTATTAGTTGAAAAGGCAAAACAAGAACATGAACAGGTGTTATTTTGAATATGACCAACCTCATCTCCTCAGCATTATTCCATGGTAATACATATATGATAGGGTGGGATCATGGTATTTTCTAGGTATTTTTGATTTAACTCATCCGGTTTCCTGTTTCCTGTTGGGTCTTCATTATCAATCACAAAATTAACGAAGTTATTACGGTACTGGTTACAAAAAATAACGAGAGGCGCGTATCATAACGCGCATAACCCTTTTTTCATAATCCTTTGGTGTTAATAATCGAGGGGGTAGTAATGCTCCGTCACAAGACAAAACTAAGATCCATTGGTACCTCTTGGCACATGGTTGTTTTCATTACAGGCTAACTATTGGCCGATGTCAGACTTTGCGATTGGAGCGATTTTGCACCAATTGCAGGAGCGACGGATCGCTTGAGCGATGCGAGCGACGGGAGATTTACACCGCCGACCACCGATAATTCGGCGCCATCAGTTCGTAAATCTCCTCGTCGCTCGCACACTGCGAAGACGAAGCGAGATTAACGCCGCTGGATACCCGATGTACAGCGCCGCTCGGGTAAATCTCCCGTCGCTCGCATCGCTTGAGCGATCCGTCGCTCCTGCAATTGGTACAAAATCGCTCCAATTGCAAGGTCTCCCATCGGCAATTCATTCTTGCTTTTATATTTTTTCTATGTGATACTAGTTTAAGTTTTTAAATCCTATGTAAGGGTACACTTTCTCAAACGTGCTTTGCCTGGCAATGAAAGTTCTACCTCTATGTTATCCTCCTTGGATTCTTTTCGGCTCTTATTTCTTATTATAACTCATAACGGGTTTTTCTGCGAGAGCGCCAAGCGATGTTCACTTATCGTTATTAAGACAGTAGTGACCTATACATCGCGAAATAATGTAGTCGTTATGGTATTATCTTAAAGCACAACTCATGCAGAGGTTTCGGGTGAACCGCTTCTCTTCGGTCTGTAAGTGTAAGACCCCCTAGAGACTTAATCACAACGTCGGCGCCTCTTGTCGCGCCGCACGCTGATTAAGAGCGTTTCTTGGCCTTACAAAGTAAGTTCCCACATTGCTGCGGACTTTTTTTTCATTAATCTAGATGACTGGGCTTGTCGGCGCTCGTCTCATCGTATCTGTTCTCTCGGGTCTCGATAGCTTCTCCTCTCCGCGCTTTAAGTACTCTCTCATAATTTACCCATCCAGTCACCAGCGCGAACGTCAAGGAAAGGTGAGTGACTCCTTAACCCAGATGTTGAAGCCATTTTTGATCTGAATTTTTGTTCCTTTGCTTTAACTGGCTCGCCTACCTCCTAATACTTCCTCACATTGTGTACAAGAGTCCAAGTCCGCGCGAATGTGGTCCTTGGGCATGCGCTTTAAAGTTCCTTAATCATGTGCAACTTTCGGTGAATAGTGTGATAAACAAGTCTTGCAGCATGTTTTTGTGGTATCAGAAAGGGGGGGGGGGGGGGATCCCGTCAAAACTCAAAAGAATAGCGAGAGGAACCAGTCGAGCAAGTGCCTGTACTCGTGTAGTCATGGCTATCATTTACGGCGGTTCGATAATAGTGCCGGACGAGAGGAGTTCAAGTCATATTTATACACATGTAGGTACAAGATGTATTATGGCGTTTTCTTCTGATCAATGATTCCCAAAAGTTTTAAGGGTTGCTATGGATGTTATCTGAATGAGCGTGCAGAGAGAATCAATCACAGACCTCAGCTGGAAACGACGGATGATGAGAATGAAAAGGTGGTGAAAAACACGGCTGATTGATATCCGGAGGGAGTATGGAAAGTTAGGAGTGCTCCGAAATTCGTTCAAATTATACTAACAGGACGAGCCCGCTTAAAACCCTTCGTAGATAGGAGGCCAAAATATGACCGACTCTACCTCAGTCCTGAGGAGACTATCTTCTTATCAATTGACTCGAATGTGTTGGTGGTATCTGAGAACAAGAAGGAGCTCACGTCAGGTAATGATTCGTCAAATTTGTTTGAAAAGACAACTGACAGCTTCTTTAAGTTTTTTTTTTGCTCATTAGGAGAGCTGATGGCTGCGGGCCATGAAAGAGCTTTGGGTCTTCATCGTCTGAAAAAAGTACGTGCTCTCATCGGTACCGCCTTTCCGAAATAATGATGGTGTTATCGTCTGGACTCGTTCGGCCATAGTTGTGTGAATATTGTAACAGTGAGCTAATCATGAGATTGATCATCTGACCTTGATTAATATGGATGCTCCACCTTACTTCCTCGAACGGAATACACAAGAAAAACAAATGAGAAACACATGAATTATCCGTCATTAACACGAGTACAGGTTCTGCAATGAGAAACGCTTACTCGTTTCCTTACGTAGTTAAAGCATGAACTTTACTGCAGGTGCATTGAGCTCAAAAAGTTGCGACTGGGCATTATTCGGGTTGATATGTAGGTGATTAATGAATTTAGTCGATGTGTGTTTCATAGCAGGAATGGTCCCCATTCAGTAGCGCGGGGATTCTTGTCACGAAAGTCGCATTCACGCACTTTCAGGAGCTTTTTTGCAGAGTGCAGTAGTATGTTCCCTTCTGAAAAAAGATGTCTGGTTTCCATGGAGATGGGAATTCTCAGAGTTTTTGTTGTGAAAAGTGCTAGCGTTTTTTGTGAGCATCAATTTCGTATTACGAGTTCTTTTTTCTTTTACAGTAATTTATAAAGGAAGTCCTGAGTCACATCATGCCGCTGCAGGTGTAAAGATGGAATCTCAGATGGATGCACACACTTTTATAGGTTTTAATCGTACGCTGAACCAACATGAAGAAGGTAGACTGTTCAGTCTTTCCCGCCTGGCAATAGCAACTTTTAATTCTAATTTAGGCCCTTGTAATGGTGACGCCGCTAGTACCGGAAGGGTTGAACACAAACGACCATAAGTCAGCTGACTCTGTCGAACTTCTTGTGAGTTTCTTTCTACTGAAGCCAACGAAGATCCATCTGAACCAGAAAGTTGACATATTTTATGGCTAATAGCAGCTATGCATTGATGATAGGGAAAGCGCTGGAGTTTGTTTTTGGATACTGAGCTCAAATTTGCTTTTCAAATTTGCCAATGGATTTTCTGAGTGAGGGTATGGGGCGAAATTTGTACAGTAACGGTGGTTGTACGCGCTTCAAGCAAGTGAAGGTGGGATTGATTCTTTGGCGGGTTTCGTCATTTTGTTTGCGGCAACACGGTAATCATCAACTATGATACTGTATCAGTGCTGCCTATAATTTCCTGTATTGAGATTTTCTGAGCAGTCCCTAGCAGCTTTAGGCGCTTTTGCTCATATGCACATGGCGCACTCAGCGCACTCGCTGGACGCTTCCGAAGCAAGCAGATGTGGTAATCTACACGGGTACCAAATCACTGTGACGGGAGAATTTCTTGCCAAATCCAAGATTTTAACCGAACTCTGTCGGCTAGAAATGGAAAAGTACAGTAAATCTAGTCTGGCAATACTGAACTCGTTCATGGAATTGCACTGTTAACAGATGTTGACACAGGCACTGTGGTATAACGGACAAGATGTGTTATTTCTAGATGTCTACATCAACAACTATGTTTGAGGAGCGCAAGATGAATGATATAAAGAGGAAGGAATTCGAAGAATACAAACGTGGCCTTAAACGAAAAGCAGAATGAGGGTGTTGTTTATATCCATCGTTAATTGTTATTGTTGTTGTTTTTTGTGTCGAAGTTTCTTGAGAAATGAAAGTTTCTGACGTTTCGCTTGAAGGAATCACGCTTACAGTAATCCAGGATCCGAATTATGAGCAGACAGTGTTCAAAAGCTCATCGAAAGCAGAAAAGGAACTTTAAGGCAGAAGTACGTTGGGTTAGAAAGTAAGGGATATTGTCTCATCCGCTCAAAGAGTAGAGTTCGATGCGGGGTTTGATTCAAACCGTTTTGACCGTTTAATCCAGGACCGTCGGATTAGATCCCTGCCTGAGATTGTTTAGCTAACGTCAGATGTGCCAATGCGTAAGGTCACGGAGCCTTATTTGGTGGTGGCCTTTAGTTCGTGATGCAATACCACGGTATATCAGGGATTCGCAGAACCCATACGAGCAGGTCGAATTCGCTTGAGGCCAAACTAAGCACCCCTACTACCGCTTGGGGGGAACCGTCGTTGTGGAAACGATAAGCTTTATGCTCATGGTGTGGGAAGACAATAGCGCTTTATGTTGGAGCCGGCTATACATCATCCTTATTAGGTTACATTATCCCGGGAAGTGCACCGTTTGCACATTCTATGTATTCAATGAATGTCAGGATCGCAGGCAATATAATACCTTTTTACGGCTGTCGACGTGGTGTTTGTGAGTGGTCTGTGGTCCCCCTTCGATGAACACAAAGGAAAGGGCTTGAAATTTCAAAAAAAAGAGTTTACGCTCTAGGAGGGTGGCGACTCCACCCGCCCCCATACTAAAGTGGTATGCCGAGTCGGTCCCCGCTTTGCGGCTGCAAGTTGCCGGGCCATTTTGGGGCCCTTTTTTTTTTTTTCCCTAAGGAAGGGTTTGGGCCCTTATTTTTATCTCCGCCTCCCCTCCCCGTACTCTATTAGCCAATCAGCTGCTTTTCAAAAACGTTTCATAACTTTACTTTGAACTCCTGTATTATCCTAAGCTTCCCGTATTAGTTTGCTGTGCATGTATATATGCACAAGTGGCCGAAAAGTATAGGACGCTATATTTTTATGTTTATTCTACAAGATATGAAACAAACAACCAAACAAACTTTATCGAGAAATAAAGCACAACTATATAATTACTCAGGAAAGGAGATGCTCGAAATTTGACCCTCTTGCTTTTACACATGCCTTAAGACGATCGACGACTGAATCGACTGTGCGCCGTAGGTAATCGACGTCGACTTCGTCCCACGCCTTCTGAAGCGCCAATTTCAGAGCGTCCACCGAGCTGTAGGAGCGTCCTTGGATTTTGCTTTCCAAGTATCCCCATACGGCGAAGTCCATCGGATTGAGATCCGGCGAGGAAGAAGGCCACATTTCTTTGCCCCAGTAACCGGGAAAGTGCTCATCCAGGAGGGCTCTGGTGGATTTGGAGGCATGAGAAGGAGCCAATCTTGCTGAAGGATGAAAGGTCGTCGGGCGAAGTGCTTGGTGACCCAGGGCAACAGATTGTCCATCAACACCACCTTCTGGTAGACTTCCGAGTTGATTTTAACGTTTCTGTCAATGAAGACCAAAGGCGTCTTTCCCTCTGAAGTCACTCCGGCCCAAACCATCACACTTTTGGGAGAAAGGGTTTTGTGAGCCAGGCGGCGTTTCGTAGACCTGCTGTCAGCTTTCGATAGCAACTGCCGCTGGTTTTGACGGTTGGGAAAAGGGACGACGGTGAAAATCTTCTCATCAGTCCAGATCACGTCGGAAATGCGGCGCACCTGAAGCGCGCTCAGAAGTTTTTTGCATTTTGCCAGTCGATTTTGCTTGGCTTGCTCCGAAAGAAACTGGCCTCGGAAGAGACGGTAACTGTTAAGCTTCAGCTCTTTCTTCACAATTCTCTGGACGGACGTAATAACTTCGTATAGCATACATTATTGGGTGCTGTTTCCTTAATATTAACATAATAATGGTCCAATATTAAAAAATAAATAAATGAATAAATAAATAAATAAACTAAAGAGGCCCACAAGGTGAGCACAAGGGTATGCTTAGCCATCCAGTGAAGTCATGTCAGTAACAAAGACTACTTCTAGACGTTATTGTTAAAGAAAACAGGGATCATATTTCCTCAATCTTAGGATTGTTGTGGACCAAGAAAAGCGAGCAAATTAAAAGGGTTACAACCTTATTTGTAAAACTATTGCGTTGATTAAACTCTGTTAGGCACTTGCCTGGGTAAGTAGAGTTGGGAGTTTGAGTCCTGTAGCCAGTTTACACTCCCTGAACTGTTTCACAAGGACGAAAAATCCCTTTAAATTTATTTGTTTTCAACGATACAGTTTCTTCATTTTCAGTGCATGTTTACTTTGACCTACATACATACATTAAATGTAGGCCTTTATCAGGACAATCTCCAGTTGGGAAGACGGAGAAAATGAGGGATTTTCGCCCTCAACCCCTTGGGGAGGATTGAATCCGGTCCCTGCCTGGAGCGAGGGTTTCTTTATGACAGTACCCTTGAGACCTTCGCAGGGCGATGCGGCCAAAGAAAGTAGTTAGCCATCACAAACAAGTCAAAATCAATCATTTATTCTCATCATTCCACAATACAATTCTTTATGCAATGACTATGGAAAGGGTTTCAAAATCGAAATCTGATCAATCTCTGCAGGTGACAGAGGAAATAGCAGCAACATAATGAGAACTGTCTCAGGAGTTGGGCGAGGTGCACAGAAATGCTCAGAGCTGCTCCTTGCTTGCCTCTCGATAATATTTCCTGTAGTGTTCCGTGAATAATGCTAAACAATCGTGTGTTTCTTGAACTTCAGTGATTCTCTAACCTGAAGAAGGGCTCAGGAAATTTGTACAATTGAGATCGGAACTGCATTGGAAAGACTTCGACCTTCCTTTTTCATCATCAACAGCTTGCAGAGTGGTTTTTGAAATTCTCTCTCCGAAAAAACTATAATGTACCTGGAATGAATTTGGGGCTTTAGATTTTTTCTACTGAAACTTTTTGTAATAAATATGCTGAGCTTATGGAGACTATCCGGATCTAAGTAGTTTCTGGATAGTCCCCGTTAATTTGTTTCTAGTTTGTTATTTATTATTT